ATATATATATAGTATAATTGATTAGTAGTATTTCAAGTCAAAACGTGTCCAACACGAATGAACAAATATTATTCGTTTTGTTCGTGTTGGGCTCGCTAACTTAGCGAACGAGCCAAACACGAGCTTCTTAAGGAGTCGAACACGAGCTGTTCGCGAACAACGAGCCGTTTTGACTGCCCTACTGATAATCCAGATTAAAATGTCAAACAAAAATTGAACTGGATATAAACTCCATTGCATGTAAAACAAATATCAATCTGATACTCAACTTAATCCCACTTGAATAGATAATTCTTCAGGATAAATAGTTCCCTTTAAATTAATACTGTATCTAAACAGGAAGCCCCTCACATTCCGCCCATTGCCAGACAGCTAAGGAAAGGATTCATAGAAGAGCTTCTCGAAAGTAGCCAGCTTTATAAAGTTCGAAGGAGAGATGGGAAGAAGAAAGATAAGGATGGTACCCGTTCAACAAGCGGCTCACGGACTTAGAGACCTCCCGCGGGATCTGAATTGCAAGGAGATTTAGTTTTACATCGAATCCGCTCTCATCCAAAATCACAGGCTCCACCATTATCTGCACAAAATGGAAAACACGGCACAAGTTTTTTCCAAACTCCTTCCTGTTTTACTGGGTAGGGCTGTTTGGTTGTCGGATTTAAATAGGCAGCATCGTAAATTCTGCCAAACTGTCAAAATGACCAAAATAAATCTCATTTCAACTTTGTTTTGCCTTAAATCTAGGAGTTACTAAATTCTGTAGTTTGGCGGAATTTAGAAGAAAGAATACCGGTCGATGCCTCTGCCAATATAGCGAGGAGTGGAAAGACTGGGTTTTGGGCGCGGCGCTGCGATCCCGTGGATGCTTTGTCGGCATCGGCAAGTTCCCGTCGCCGCTTCGCCCCCGGTTCCCGTCGAGCGTTTCGTGAAAAAGGAGACCGAATAATTTAGGGCTGGACAATATATTGTAGAGTGGTGGGGCTATATGCTCACTCTAATAATATAGTGTTATATTGTTATACTAGTGGGATCTGATTTTTACGAATTATGATTGATATTATGGTACATTTTGATGATATTTTGATAGTATTTTAATCATATTCTAGTAGTATTTTGGTTGTATTATTGTATTATTCTGGTGATATTCCGATTGTATTTTGGTAGTATTTTGGTGATAATCAATTTATTTGATGTTTGAATTACACGGGATTAATTGGTAGAAACTAATCTCACTTTCTTAATTGAAAAGATAAGTTAATAAATTTCTAAATTTTTATAAATAAATTTCTAAATTTTTAAAATTTGGAAGTTTATTAAAATTAAATGATCCTGGACTTAGGGGTATGACTTTTGAAGCCAAAAATTAATCAATTTAATAACTCCATTTTGATTTCCAAATAGAATCCAAATCATGAATCATGACCACTTAAAGCTTAACCCTTTTCAAAACTAATTAAGACACTCACCTAGGTCTTAAGGTCTTAGTGGTGACTTAGGCTAAATCTAAAATTGATTAAATAAAGATTAGAGAAATAAACATAACATAATCAAACATCCTTGAAATGCCAGTAAGCCCAATTAGGATTAAAAATTTTGCTAAGTGTTCAAATTACACTAACTTCCCCTTTAAGGGAATTCACTTACATAATCTTCAAATTGAATGATAAATGATAATTAACCTATTCTTAGGGATAATTGAGAAATCAATGTTCACTGAGCATTAAGGATATTTATAGGATGAATTATTAAGCAACATAATAAGTTTAAAAAGAGCTCGGGATTTTCCACCAGGCGGCGAGAGAGTAGCATGGACCTGCTTCTTTTTCTAGATCTGTTAGACACCTCGGAGATCTAATAAACATGATATGTTTTGCTTGATAAAATTAGCCTTAATTAAACTCGTAAGGACCCACCAAGATATGACCTAAGGTTAGGTAGGTCTTCAAAATTTTACTTCCCCGTTTCATATAAACTGCCTTTAAGTTTCAGATGGTGGAACGAGAAGACTCGCCAAGTACACTTTTACAGTTTCCAGCGTTGTCTTTTTTGTACTTTCATCCTGTGTTTCTCATACTGTACTTTTATACTTGCAAATTTGCATGTTAAACAACGATGTCACCCTGCATGAAAACTAAAACTATTATGATAGCCACATAACCAAAACCAAAACTAAAATCAACCAAGATAAAATCCACCGCCACAACATTCAAAATACAAAACAACTCAAAATTTAATCAAAAACACCACACAAAACTACAACTTCAACTAAATTAAGACATCTCTACTGGATGATCGGGAATCCCTCGGAGGAGGTAACCTTTGTTTGCTAACGAGGTTTCCCACGGTCTAAATGAAATTATGAAACTCATTAAGTTGAGTTTAGTAAGTTCATTTTGACTAAGTGAATCCAGTAGATAATAGTGGTGCCGGAACGAGGGAACCATAGGATCCTAACCGGTGTCGCTGTAATCAACTTTAATATGCCCTCATAAAATTTAAAGAACTTCAACCATAGGGCCACCTGATTTGACACTTTAACTTGACACACTAGAAAACTCAAACTCGTCGCAGCAAGGAGCTTGGAGCTAGCATGGTGGGCATCACGACCATCTTCAACAGCAAAACATGTCTTCCCCAGCTAAATGATTTTCCTTCCTTAGACTTAAGCAACAAAGCCATAGGAATTTGAGGTTGGTGCTTATGCAACGTAAATTCTCACCTTATCTTTAGGCTTTTGTACAGCCCTGCTATACAATATAAGCACTAACTCGTCTTAGGATTCTGAGGTTGTTGTTTGTCACGACCTAAATCCTCACATCTTTCAGGCTATTTAAAAAGCATTTTCCGAACCTAACTTAATATAAACCCTATTTAATCCTTTATATTAAATAGGGGAACTTGTCGGCAAATATAAAAGTTTCGCAGACCAAACAAATGTCATATATTCCTTAGTTTATTTGATCGAGCCTCGTCCTCAAGTCTTGTGTTTATTCTTCGGGATAGATACAGGAATTGAGGTACAGTGCTCCTTCATTTAAACTATGAAAAATATGAGGTCAATTTGATTTCGTATTTTTCTAAAACTAAATATATATGTAAATTAAAACGTACTTCCGAAGCGGGTGACGAGATTTTGATTCTGATGACAGACAGCTTCTTAAGGGCAACTCCCCTTCAACCAAACCCAAAATAGCGCCGACACCCGTTATGATTATTATGGGCTTGGTAGTGACCTAGGTTCGTTGTCAAAACTCATTTGATCAGATTTAGAAGATAATATGATTGGTAACTATCAGCTTTAGACACTCGAAGCCCATTTTTGATGGGCACCGCAGCTTTAATGACTTAAGTTTGCCTTAGAGGCATTCATCCATATAACTTTTAAGTAAAGTATTAAATTGATTAAGTATCCTATCCTCGGGATAATTGAATTGTCAAGTTCCACTACGCAACAGGGTTGTCACACTCTAACCCGGGATGATTAATGGAACAATATGATGAAGTTCAAATGATGAACTCAAAATAATTCAAGAGATCCTCAAAGTAGTTTAGGGTCATTCCCTGAACACTTTGAAATCTTTTGGATGTTTTGAAGGGCTATTAGACATTTTGAATGGTAAAATTGAATTCACCATATTTTGTTCTAAAATCATCCACTAAGAACTTCAAAGACTCAATAGAGTCATACTTTGGGGTTTGATAGCTACACCTTTGTCTACTCCTCCAATTTGAATTCTTTGCAAAATTATATACACACTGCCATAACTAATCTTTTAGCTGGAGGAACTAGAAGAACCGATAGGTACACTTTTAAATTATTACATTTACCTTTCTGTACTTCTTGTCTCAAACTTGCATGTTAAACAACGGAACCACCCTGCATGTCAAAACCAAAACTATTAGGATAGCCGCAAAACCAAAACTAAATTTAAAATTAAACAAGGTAAAATTCACTGCCACAACATTCAAAATATAAGACAACTCAAAATTTAATCACAAACATCACAAAACAAAAATTGCAACTAAATTAAAAATGTCTTTATCAGATCATCGAGAATCACTTAAAGGAGGTAACCTACGGTTGTTATTCCCACGGTCTAAATGAAAGTATGGAACTCATTGAGTTGAGTTTAGTAAATTCATTTGGACTAAGTGAATCTGAAAGAAAATAGTGGTACCGGAACGAGGAAACCGTAGGATCCTAATCGATGTCGCTCTAATCAACTTTAATACCCCCCATAAAAATTAAATAACCATGACCATAGGAAATATTTGATTTGACATCATAACTTGACACACTAGAAAACTTAAACTTGCTACGGCAAGGAGCTTGGAGCTACCATTGTGGGCATTACGGCCATTTTCAACAATAAAACATGTCCACACCAGCTAAACCATTGCTTAGAATTAAAAAAAATGTCTACACCAGCTAAACCATTGCTTAGAATTAAAAAAAAACAATTCATAGGACTTTGAGGTTGTTTGCTTATGCAACATGAATCCTCAACTCATCTTTAGGCCATTAACTAACCCCAGAGCTTTCTTTTTGAAGCTACTGTAATGGCATTCCCAAAGCTCAATTTCTCGTGCAACCTGACAACGAGCTGTAATGCCCGTAACGTCGCCCCTATCATCAAGTTTGGAGTTGGATTTGAATATCTCGAGGTTGTTCTTGAAAAAGCCATAATGAAAGTTGCCTCTCCGGAAGTTCAGGAGCCGTCTATTGAGTTCAGCCTAAACTGTCCACAGGATTTCCCTTCTTACAAAAAGGTAAAGACTGCTGCCACCACGACACATGCTAAGCCTGCTGCCCCCATTTTGCTAAGGGAAAAGAGGTTATGGTTGTCAAAGACCCGACTGAAGGATTGGTTGTCTCACCTTCTGTATTTGAAATTGGATCGAGTTCGAGGACTGCACTGTTAATCTGAAGTCAAAGAAGGAACTACAACCAAAAGATTCAAAAGTTTACTAAAGCCCAAATCTCTGAGAAAATGTATGTTGATGAAATTCCTCATCAGGAGGAACCAGGCTTACTGGAGACCTATCCACTTCTGCGAGGAAGTAGGTTCCATCCTTTAATGGACACTAATGGATACGAGAGTATCCAAAAGATTGTCACTACCTTACCGTCACCTCATGGACATGGTGGGGAGAGGGAGAAGCCCACTCCTATCACCCGAGTCAGTACAGTGTTCCATAGATTGCCCGCTAAAGAAGGTTGTTCAGTCGGTGAATTACTTAAATGAGTGGGATGTGCAGTATCCACTTGCATGAAGAAAGAGATTCTAAGGGACATCAGATTTGTCAAACGGTCTAAGACACCAACTGAAAACTTACCTACTCGCATTCCAGTCAGATTCTGTTTTGGAAGTCAGATTGATACTAACATTACCACCATCAATTCTACTAGTGATGCTGCTCCGAGACCCGCAGCCCGTCTACTAGACGTTTGGGTCCAATAATTCTGTTGATCACCCGTCGTGAAGTTATGAAGGAAAAGATGAAGAAGTTATCTGGTACTGTATCTGGTCCGCACCATAGGGAGAATACCTCTCTTCGACGTGCCGATGTTGAGAGTTATCATCTCAAGACGTCTTTGCCATCTTTGCTAAAGAAAAAGGTATGGGTACCCAAGGTTGTCATACTAATAGGATAATAGGATACAGTGAGCTCACTGGGTAATATCATGGAATGAAGCAAGGGTCCAAAATATCTGACTTTGTTGAAGCTATTGCCAGCGAAATGGATGAACAAGTAGAGGATATCTGACTTTGTTTAACAGAGTCCTCCAGATCTTAAAATGATACAAGAATCAGTGATTGAAGAAAAGGTTGAGAAGCTCAGGATAGAGATTTCTGAGTTAGCCCGAG